GCAAAAGCTAGGAAGCTGAAATTTTTTGGGCATGCCCTCGGCCCATGTGCTACCCAGAAAATCTAAGTTCAGCTCTCCCTGCCTGCAGGCGACATGTACGGCCCCGTAAAAGTTTGGGCGGATAAAATTATTATCACGGGAACCACGGAGTCTAGGAAGCTGAAATTTTACGGTAATGGCCTCCTGCCCACGCTCGATCCTGCCTATTCGAATTCAGCGTTCCCGCGCTCTCGGGTATCACCTAAGGCCTTGTGAAAATTTTTGAAGGAAAATTATTATCTCGAAAACCATAAGAGCCAGGAAGTTGAAATTTTATGGTAATCCTGTAATTTTAAATTCAGCTCCCCGCGAGTCCGAGTATCACTTACGGCCCTGTGGTGGTTTCGGCGAGGAAAATTATTACCTCGGAGACCGCGGAAGTTGAGAATCTAAAATTTTATGATCTCCTCTACAAGCGTATTACCTTCGCGCATCCCTGGGTACCACGTACAACCCCGTGAAAGTTTTGAGAGAGAAGTTATTATCTCGTGTGCGTGAAATTTTTAGTGGCAAATCTCACAACTTAAGAACCAGTCATTTCAACCATTTTTGCACAGGCCAAAGTGCAAAGCAGTGAAAATCATTAGTAGGCAATCGTTCAGTGAATGGAATTGCACAAAACGCATGATCGCACCGGCTGCCCTGATGCGCGCTTTTATTTATTTATTTATTTATTTTTTTATTTTGTATTTCTCATTTGATTACAGTAAAAACATCAACGCAGTTATAAATTAAATATGAAAAGATTTACAAAACCCTAGGCTGGAATGCACCAGGTTTATGGGTTCGGTCATACGTTTTTGCGTTAGACTTGCAGCGGTCAGATCGTTAGAATTATGATTGGTTCCAGCGTTACAGTTTAACACGGGGATGTATGTTGACAGTGTTTTAGCGTTTTCTTGCGTAGAGGTTGGGATGGCAGTCTTACATCATGGAGACACGTGAGCCTACAGTTTGCATGGTTATCAATTTCTTGCATAAAGCCCGGTTGCTTTTCCGTGAAAGATCGTTCACTGCAAAAATGCGACTATAAAATGCATTCGCTTTTGAGTTTGCGATAAAACTGAGTATTTGTCATGCCTGCGTGCAGGGAATTTTCACCTCCAAGCTTAATCAAGAACATACATGAATAATAGTATATCCTTGCAAAGTTATAGCTTCGCCGCTTGTCCAGTAAGCAAAACAGCCACTTCTCTACAAATTTTTTTGATGCACCCCAAGTCGTGGCGCTTATGCAAATCGGAGTTCATGTGTGCAATTTTCTGCATGGATGATAAATATTGTGACAAAATTTGAGCTACTTTTTCTGGCAAGTTTTCGAGTTGGCACAGCACCAACTGCGAGCTATGACATGACTGTACGCGCGTTACAAGCATATGCGATAGATGATTTTGAAATTTTTAGCTCACACATGCATATAGAATAATCCTGCAAACTTTCAGCTTTTTTTCTTATCTGGTTCACAGTAAGCTTTCAATTTTTTCGGAGCTCCATACGCGAGACCTAGGCCTGCATGAGTGATGATTTTAAGACGGGAATGTAGCACGAGGGATAGGAATATGCCCTCAAAATTTTAGCCTCTCAGCCTTCCTGGTTGCTGTATTGAAGGTGGTGGACAAAGTTTACTCTCTTTCGAACACAAACACACATGAATGACCTCTCAAAAATGTGCGTTTTTGCCCTCAGTTAAAAATCATAAATACCAGCATAGTCGGTGTCCCATTTTTAAGTTAACTCTGATAAGTTTTTAAAGCATCTACCGGATTAATCTTAAAAGTCAGGGCATTTGTGTCATCCGTGCGTTTTTGTAGATGTTCGTGATCAGCGGTGGTGAAGGATTCGACAGTTGCGCTCTAGAAGTTGATGGTGAGAAGCGGGAAACTGAAGATTCTATTAACCACTTATTGTTTTGGTCGGCTTAACAGCCTTCAGGTTCAAAATTAAGATTAACATTCTATCCTGAAAATTCTAACACGAAATCA